ACAGCAGGTATTCAAGTGCTCCAAAAGTCCCTCCCCCATGTTGGAAGTCAGTAACCTCTGAACCAACCAAAACATCTCCACTGTTTGGCTGCTAGAGGGTGCACAATTATATGTTCTGACCAGTGTTTGGTTGGCTTCAGAGTGAGACCTGTGCCACCTGTGCTCCAACCCTCGTCCAGCTTGTTTCATAGTGTGGAGCTCCTCAGAGGACCAAGGGGCTGCTTGTGTCACAATCTGGTGCATGGGCAGCAAGAGTCCAGGACTGGTACACTAGGACCAAGGTGTGGGCAGTGACGCTGGTAGCCTTCTAGCTGGTGGGCCCAAACTCAGGAGCAAGTCCATCAGAGGTCAGGGACCAGAGGAGGCCAGGATGCAGTATAACTGCATCAAGCCGGAACAGGAACTAGCTACAGCATGGCATGAAATCGCGTCGGTGTGGAACAACCCAGGGTGAAGTGCAGACCTTAGTCCTTCTGAGTTTGCCTCCAGGTGCAGCACATCACCTCATTTGTGGTTTTGTTTTCCCCAAATTTTTTTATTGTTTTTCCAAAAAAAAATTAAACAAACAAATATACAAACAAACATAAATCTCAACTGTACTTAAACCAAACTTAGTAAGATTGTTAAGTGACTTCCTCATATGCCCCTGGTTGAATTTCAGTGTATATCATTTTAACGATTTTCAAAACCAGTATTCTTATAAAATTAACTTATTCACTTAACATCTTTTTTTTTTACTTTCTAGTTCAGCATTAAACATATTAATTCATCACGTTACATATTTAAATCCTAAGCCTATCTGATATTTGCAAGCTTCTCCAATTAATTTAACTTAACATATTTAACTAAATAATCTCTTTAAATTTCATCCATTCTTCCTGGTGCTCCTCCTCCTTCTGGTTGCGGACTCTTCCAGTCAGGCTAGCTCTGAAAAATCCATCATCTTCATCTGCCATTCCTCCACTGTTGGTACTTCTTTTTTCCCCCAATTCTTAGCTAATAAAATTCGAGCAGCAGTTATGGCATACAAAAATAGTTTAACATCTTTCTTGGGCAATTCCAAACCTATTATTCCAAGAAGAAAGGCCACTGGTTTCTTGATAAATGTATATTTCAAAAAAATTTCAATTCATTATAAATCTTCTCCCAGAAGTCTTACACCTTGGGACAGGTTCACCACATATGATAAAAGGTACCTTCTTTTTCTTTACATTTCCAGCATCAATTATCATTGTTAAGGTAAATCTTTGCTAGTTTTACTGGAGACAAATACCATCTATACATAATTTCCATTATATTTTCCTTTAACAGAGTACATTAAGTGAACTTGTTCCCTTTCTTCCACAGCCTTTCCAGCACATCACCTCATTTGACCCCTGCCAGCCTGTACTTCTTTCCTCCAAAGCAAGCAGGCCAGGGCCTGGTCCCTGCAAATACTCACAGCACTCGGGGCCCGGTCCCTGCGAACACTCACAGCACTCGGGGCCTAGCTCCTGCACAAACACTGATGGTGCTCATTATTGTTTGGGTTCCCAACTTCCACTTGGAAGGAATGGTGTCAGCGGCCCATGTCATCTTGCCATCCCATAGCAAGATGGGGTCTTTGACAGGACCACCAGCTTTCTCCAATGAAAAATCCCCCAGAGCGTTCAGGAACACATCAGGTCGCATCATTCCCTGAGGGCTCACCCCCTTTACAGGGAGGAAGTGACATTCTCAATCCAAACTTAACGTGACAGTGGTCTGGCCATGACAAGCCCAACCATATTTGGTCCATCTCTCATATCACTTGGGGCAACGATCACGTTGAGAGTGCTCTCTCTTACACACCTGTTGTGCATGTGTGTTAAGTATCTACATGAGGACATGTAATATGCATTGGTGGTTAAAAGCATCATGTAGCACACACACAAACAACCCCAAACACATTTGATTCCTGCCTAGTAAACATTAGCATGTTATTTGCATGATGGAGCATGATAGTTAACCTAAGATGACATAAGAACATCAGAAGAGTCTGTTGGTCAGGCCAATGGACCCTCTAGGCCAGCATCCTGTTCTCACAGTGGCCAACCAGATGGGAAACTGGGAAACTGGGAAACTGTCTATGGGAAACCTGCAAGCAGAATTTGATTATGAGAAGCACTCTCCCCTCCTGTGGTTTCCAGAAACTGGCATTCGGAAGCATTCACTGCCCCTGACCACAGGAGCGGAGCAGAGCCAGCGTGGCTGGGAGCCATTCATAGCCTTCTGCTCTGTTTTTATTTTATTTTCCTCTTTTCAAGCCATGGTCTCAGTTGGTGGCCATCACTGCGTCCTATGGGAAGGAGTTCCTTAGGTTAACTCTGTGCTGCACGAAGAGGGACTTAATTTTATCTGTCCTGAATCATCTAACATTCAGCTTCGTTGCGTGAGAGGGAGAGCTGGACCGAGGTCACTTCACACACCCCATAAAATACTTGAGGGGGTCAGGCCTCCTCTTCAAATGGTGCGCGCACGCTGGATCTTTTGATCAGTTATGTGGGGCAGGGCTTATAGAATCATAGAGTTGGTAGGGACCACCAAAGGTCATCTAGTCCAACCAACACAGGACTCTCAACTGATGCTTCGATGACCGATGGCTATCCAACCTCTGCTTGAAAACCTCCAAGGAAGGAGAGTCCACCACCTCCCAAGGGAGACAGTTCCACTGTCCAACACCTCTTACCATGGAAAAGGTTTTCCTGATGTTTAATTTGAATCTTCTTTCTTGTAACTTGAAGCCATTGATTTGGGTCTTACCTTCCAGAGGAGGAGAAAACAAGCACACTCCCTCTTCCATGTGACAGCCCTTGAGATATTTGAAGATGGCTATCAATTTTCCTCTCAGTCTCCTCTTTTCCAGGCAAAACATACACAGTTCCTTCAACTGTTCCTCATAAGGCTTGGCTTCTAGACTCTTGATCATGGTTGGGAAACTAGGGCCCAGGGGCTGGATCCGGCCCAATCGCCTTCTAAATCCAGCCCATGGACGGTCCGGGAATCAGCATGTTTTTACATGAGTAGAATTTGTCCTTTTATTTAAAATGCATCTCTGGGTTATTTGTGGGGCCTGCCTGGTGTTTTTACAAGAGTAGAAAGTGTGCTTTTTATTTAAAATGCATCTTTGGGTTATTTGTGGGGCATAGGAATTCATTCGTATATTCCCCCCAAAAAAATATAGTCCGCCCCCCCCACAAGGTCTGAGGGACAGTGGACCGGCCCCCTGCTGAAAAAGTTTGCTGACCCCTGCTCTTGATCATCCTAGTTGCCCTCTGCACACCTTCCAGCTTGTCAACATCCTTCCTAAATTGTGGTGCCCAGAATTAGACACAGTATTCCAGATGTGGTCTGACAGAGGCAGAATAGAGTGGCGCTATTACTTCTGTTGGTGCATCCAAGAATAGCATTAGCTTACTTGCCACTGCCCGCCCCCCAAATATTTTATTCAAGTTGGCACTTAAAATAATGAATCAAATAGTAAATAAAAGCATAGCTCCAAATCCTTTGCCACCCACTAGCCACCTAACCCTCTCCGCATTCCCAATCCAGAACTTCTGTTCCACGCACTCTGAGTAGCTCATCCTAGTACTTTCACTTATATTTGTGTTTGAGCCTAAATTATTAGAAGGGGACTGAGGGGACTCAGCCTCTCTCTCACTGCCCTCCTCCATGCGAGCTCCCTTCAGGGTGAGAGAAGGCAGAATGCTGCACATTCTCAGAGGCACTCTTTTTCATTCAACGGCGTGCAAGATCCGAGCCCTGCGGGAATACCCACCATCCCGGTCCTTCTCTCTCTCCTTCTCTGCTGCTCTCGCCGCCCCGTCTAGCTTCAGGAAAGAAAGGAAAGAGGAACAGGAGGGGGAGCGCCCTAGTTTTTTTGTTTTGTTTTTTTTTAAAGAAGGAACATTTAAAGTTGTTTCCAGCAGCCGCCTCGGGTGAGTCACGTCTGGGCGGCCGCTGCGGAGGGGAGCTCCCCTCCTCGTGTGCCCCCCAACTACCCGCCCCCCGTCCATGTTCTGGAAGAATGAGACCTCCACCTCCCAGTCCGAGGGCCAGCAGTCGCGGACCGAGGTGAGGCATGGCATTGTGGGGAGGGGCAGAAAAAGCGGAGAAGACCCCTTCTGTGCATGTGGAGGGAGGGGAACAGAGGGCCTCCTGTGCCCCGTGCAAACTCTAGAGAGGAGAGTTGGGGGGGGGGCAAATGAATGTCCTGAAGTGGGGGAGAAAAAACGTGCCACCCTGGTTTGGGGGTGGGGTCGTAGTTTTGAGAACCTGGTCCCCAGTCCTTCAAGCAAGAAGGAGCCAGCCCCCCCCCCACACACCTGAGCTGGATGACACCTAGGCTCGCTTGGGATGGGGAGGACTGAGAGATTGTTCCCCCCCCCCAAAAAAGGAGCATACAATGATAAAAGAGGCCTAACTGCAACCCCACCCCGCCCCGCCTTCCACGTCTTTGACAGAGGAGGGAAAACTCCCCAGCTTCTGTAGAGGAGGACAGATCTGACCTCAACCCCCCCCCCAGAATGAATGTGCCACCCTAATCCCTTCTCTGCCTTTTGCGGGGGTGGGGAGAGAGATTGTAAGATCCCCTCGCTGATCTCCCAGGTGACTCTATCTTCCCATCTCCTGCATCTTGTTCCTGGGGGGGGGGCATGTTTCGAGATATTCCTTCTGCTTTTAGTGCCTTGGGTAGGATGGTCTCCTCGAGAGCAAAAGGGGCCTCCTTAGGAGTAAATAAAATAGTATAAAATGCTCTCTGGAAGCTTCCTTGGCGGCGGCGGCGGCGGCGGCGTATTGTGGACGAGAGTGTTGGTTGGAAAATGTTGGTGGTAAATTTCGGGTAGCGGGAGAGGAAGGAGAGTCTTCTCACGGGGTTTTTTTGTGGTGGGGAGGTCGAGGTCGCCTCCTCCCTCTTTCTGCTGAGCGCGGGTGGGGGTCTCAGTTCTTTGGTGCTCGGGGGGAGAGGGAGGAGAAAGTGCGACTGCAGTGGGGGGGGGGGAGAGAAGAGCAGGAAAGGGGCAGGCAGGCGCTGCTATTGCGCAGCCCACCCGACGGCGAGGCTGATTGAAAAACGCTGCCTTTCTGGCTGGGCATGGGCGCTAATTGCAGGCGCTTCGGGGCGGCGTAGGGAGAAGGACGCCGCGGACGCGGCTGCAGCAGCAGCTTTGGCGAGGCATAGCGAGCCTGGAGCGCAGCGATTACCTCGAGAGCCGCTTTTCAAAGCCACCCCCTTCTTTCCTTTCCTCTCCCCCCCCCTTGCAAATTGCTCCATTAACAAGCCCTACCGCCTCTACCTTTCTTCTTTTCCTTCTCTCTCCCTCTCTCTCTCTCTCCCTCTCTCCCTCTCCCTCTTTTTTGATCGACGCCGTTTCTATGGCCACTACAAAGTTGAGGTTTATTGTCTGGAGCGGGCTTATATAGAGGGGGGGGCATGGAGCCCCGCAGCTAGAGCCTTTCCGCCAGTTTCAGAAGCAGCAGCATCAGCAGCAAGGAACGTCTCCACCGCGCGCCTTGACGAATGGTAAGCCTGCTTCCGACGGGGAGGACGAAGTGCAGATGACTGAGAAATGGGGGAAGGAAGGGAAGAGAAGGAAGGAAGGAAGGAAGGGAGGAAGGAAGGAAGGAGAAGGGAGAAGGCTGGTCCTCCGCCTCTCAGGGGAGCCCTGGGCTGCTGGGTGCTGTCGGGCTCCCGCGGAGCTGTGCCGCCGTCTAACGCCTCTTGGTTTTCTCTCGTTCTCCGCAGGCCCAGCCGGACGGGGAAGCGCTCCCGAGCGCCCTGGATAAAGAAGAGGCGCGCTCGGGCGCCAGCACGCCCTCCACACCCTCCGTCTGCTCCCCACCATCCTCTGCCTCCTCCTCCTTGCCGTCGGGGGCCAAGAACGTCTGCTTCAGTTGTGGCATGGAGATTGTGGACCGGTACCTGCTCCAGGTAAAGGGCAGCCGCGTAGGGGGGAATGGTTGGTGGGCAGGTGTGTTGCGGGGCAGAGGCAGTGAACGGACAGGGGTTTTCACCGCCAGACCCCTCGGCCCTCATCTCAGGTCCCTTTGCCTCTCCCCACCCCCCACCCCACTCCTCGCAGGTGAACGACCTCACTTGGCACATGCGTTGCCTGGAATGCTCAGTGTGCCGGACCTCGCTTCGCCGGCAGCACACCTGCTACGTCAAGAACAAAGAAATCTATTGCAAAAGGGACTATTTCAGGTAGGTTCCAGGAGGCCGCGGGGATGGACGGAACTGTGGGACTGAGGGAGGGCGAATCCGGAGCGATTCCGCTTGCTTTGGAATTTCCTGGTTGCTGGGTCAGCATGTTCTGGAAAGGTCTCCTGAACGCCCGGGCGGGTTTGCTCTGGATCACTTTTAAAGTAATGGTTTCATATGCAGCGCAGCGAAGTTTACTTGGGAGGAACTCGAGGTGGGCCTGGAGCTTTCAGAGAGAAATTATCTCAGCTTTGGATACTGGAAGAGAATGGGAGTCTTGGGTTTCTTCTGGTGTTTTGCCCCGTAGCGTTCACACTCGATTTGCGGGATGCGGCTAATGATGCATTCACTGGTACCTAAAGGAGGACTCGAACTGAACGTGTGAACAAATTATTAACTCAGGTGCAAATTGTTCAGTCTTCGGGTCTTTGCTCACCAAATCTTGGCAAAAAAGGTGTGGGGAGGCTGACCCCTATATATATATATTTAGGCGCGCGCACCCAGTTAGGCAGGATTCCGAATTTGCTTGATTTTAATTTATACTGGTTCTTAATCCTGATTAATCCGAATTAAAATTTTTAAAAGTAAACTTTAAAACAGGCGTCCCAATCTCAAACCAGTTTCTTCCTTTAAGAAGGAATTGGTAGGATTTGGTAATGAAAACGAAGTCCCGCTCGGATTCCTGGCTAGGCGGAACTCCGGAGCGGAGGCGGGCGCTGGTTTTGGTTTGGAGCTGCCCGCCTCCAACATCCTTTTTCTGAGGGGGGCAACTCTGCAGGTCGGAAGCGGGTGCGCTTTGACAGCGGAGGCAGAAACGTCCACTTTTTGGCCTTATCCGGATTCAGCGCTCGGATTGTCTCCAGGTGTCTCGTTGTCTGCCCGGGCCAGAGATTTGGAGTTTAGAGTGAGCGAAGCCGGCAGCTGCACTTTCCTGTAGAAAAAAAGGGATCCGAATCCGTCTCTTTCTTGAAGGGTTTTGGGGGGGGGGCTTTCTAAAAATAGATAAAAGCGGAGAGACACCCCTCCAAGAGGCTGAATAAGGATAGGTTATTCTGGGCAAGTGGGGGGGGGATTCGAATTATACCTAGGGCACCTGAGAGCTACCCAGGGCTGCTCTGTGAACAGGCTGACCCCCGAGAGGCGAGCACCGGGGGTGGGGTGCGCCCAGATTCGTTGACGGGGTTTCTCTCCCTTTCGCAGAAATTTACTGAGGAGGCTGTGAAGAATCAAGGGGCGGGGGTGGGGGGTGGGCGCCGGGTCTCTGGGTCAGGGCCACCCCTTGCTCGGCGGACGAAGCCCCCTGTCTAAGGACTGCGGAAGAGACTTCCAGCGAAGTTGATCCGGTGCCTCTCAGTCCAGTGCTAGACTGGACGGGCCTCTGGGGCGAGGGGCGGAGCAGGAAATCTCCTGCAGCGGTGAAGCCAGCCAAGGCCAAAGGACAACAACGCCTCGTTTCCTCCCCCCCCCACCCACTGCCTCGACCGTTTTCTGTAGCTGAGAGAAGGACCCGCTCAAATAGTTTTAGTGAGGTTTTGTTTTGTTTGTATGTGTGGTGTTTTTTGTTTTATAAAAAAAACCCCTACTTGCGCTTTTACCTAGTTTGGATTTGACGGGTCGCGCGCCGCGTTTGGAAGGGCCTTTGCCCGCCCGCTTTCTCAAACTGACCTACCCTTCCGCACAGTGGGTTTGCTTTATAATACTACGGTTTTCGAGAGGATAAATTATATCAGGAGGGCTGGGCGATGTTCGGCAGGGAAACGGGCGCCCTTCTGGAGTAAAGACAGAACGGCCGGCGCCTTTGCTTTGGCGCCCGGGACCCGCCGGGCTAAAGAGAGGAAGGGAGGCGTCGGCTGAGTGGCCCAGAATGCTCTGAATCCCGAACCCTTCGATGGCAGTTGCTGAAATAATAATAGCAATAATAATAGCAATAATAATAATAGCAGCAGCAATAATAATAATAATAATAATAATAATAATAATAATAATAATAATAATAATAAATAATATTATAGCACCTATTCGGGCTATAAAGCGGGATATATTTCAAATAAGGATAAGAAGAAGAACAGAAGTAGTGCCCGCTGGATCAGGCCAATGGCCCATCTGATATCTTTCAAAGTGTCCTTAAAATGCCTTTCAAATAAAACGGAATAAAGTCTTCTAGCCTACCCATTTTTGCGCGCCGCTTCAAGGTAGCCAGGGAGCGTTGCGAACTATGGTAGTTTGCTTTGCTTTGCATTTTCCAAATAATGGTCGGCGAATTTTGTGACTTACTCCAGGAGCTGGAAGAGGACCCACCCAAGCAAATCCGAACTCCGGGGTTTAAAGGCGCTGGATCAAAAAAGGAACCTGGGATTGCGGGCGGAAGGTGGGGACTGGGGGTGGGCGCTTGCCCTAGCCCCAGAGGGGAAGGCTCTTCCCATGGAATCGGGCCCTCCTAAAAGAAAGTCCTTCTTTGTCTATTCCTTGGCTTGGGACCCCGTTCTCTCCTCAGCGCCCTCCCGGCCTGCCGTCAAGGAGGTCCGAGGTGGGCAAACCCTTTCTGGGGGCAGATGCTTCGGAAAAGGGGGAGAGGTCGCCCTCTCGCCAGGCGCTGCCCCCCTAATGCACCTTGAGGCGGCCGCGCAGCGCCAGGTTTCCTCGAGGGACCAAGGCGCCCTGGACGGCGCGCGTTGGGGGTCACCTTTTCCGGAAGGGGAAAAACGAAGCAGGCAAGCGCGTTGCTTGAAATCACAGCGCTGCGGAGCTGTCTGATTTTTAAACCTTTCCTTACCATGCCACCTAACCGAAAATACTAATAGTAGTAATAGTTGTTTTGTTTTATTGTTGTTCCCACAGTAGTTATATCCACTGAAATGAATGGACGTGGCTAACGGGTTTCAGTTGTTTGAGCGGAGCAGAACACTTATATGCAGTTGTTTTTCCTGTGACCGTTATTTTGTATTCAACGAATTTCTACTCAAAATGCAACCGCTGAGTCCATTCATATCAGTGGATCTACTCTGAGGGTAATTAGGACCGATGGCAACTTATCTGTTACTATTAATAATACAACACTTACATCTAGCCAAATTCTCGGGTTTTCGAAGTTCTCTTTCCAGCTGCGTTTCCTAAAATAAAGCCTAGTCGAGTTCCCTGGGACTTACTTCCGCACGAGTGGGTGGGTGGATTGGGGTCTTCATCACAACGTCCTTCTCAGTCTTTGGCATTTGCCACCCCACCCCCCACCCCTCCGCCGTCGAGTGTCTGAAATCTACGCCCCTGGACAACCGCCCGCGTTATAGCATTGCCCCGGATTAAAAAAGGAAAAAGAACCCCGCAAACCAAAGATACCCGAAAACGGGGTAGGGAGAACCAGAAGGAAAAACAAGAAAGAGGAAGCTAGGAATCGTTACGGTTTTGTGTTTGCAAACAAGCAAGATTTCGAGCCGAAATGGATTCGAAGCGAGTCCCGTTTGCTAGTTACGCAGCGCAAGTGCTTTCGGTTTTTAAAAACTCATACTAGCTAGGGTGAGAAATAATGGGGAGCGTGTGATGGTTTAGGGTTTAGGAGATCTCACCAAGCCGAGGCGGCGGCGGCGGGAAGAGGGTGCTAAAATGTTTGGAGTGCGTTAAGGAGCCTGAATAAATGCGTCCCATTGCAAGGCATCTCCCGCCGCCCCCGCTTGCCCGCCCTTGGGGAGGCTGACCTCGCCTGGCTGGGACAGTGTCTGCCCACCCGCAGTGCCGGGTAGCCTACCATGAATTCCGTCTCCCTCCCAGCAAAGGAACTTGCAAGCTGGAGGCTTGGTTCTGAGAGCTGCGGGGCGAGCAGCCTCTTCGGGGCGGAGGTCGGCTCTTCGTTCCAATCTGGCTCTTTCCTTATCTCTAGATACTTGCGCCGCGGTCCCGGCCAGGGATTTTATGAGAGACAGAGAGGATCTTAAGGCTGCGATCTTGCAAGGTTCACTCCCTCTACCTGGGAGTAAATCTCACTGGGGCACGGGGGAGTCGCCTATAAGTAAAAACCTGCGCGGGATTTGCGGTATAAGGCTGTAAATTCTCGGGGTGTAGAGAGGGGGGAAATGCTCCATGGAGCGCAGCGGCTCTTGCTCCCGAGCAACCGCACCGAGAATCGCGCTGCGGAAAACGGAACATTCTTAAATTCAAGCGGTATGCGGAAAGAGATTTGCTCTTGAAGAGAACAAATACATAAATTGTAATAGAGAGATTAGATAAAAGTTGAAAACCCCGCTTTTGTTCTTTAAAACACTGCGCACCAGAGGGCGGCGAGCAGGTTTGAAAAATTCAGGTGATGCTCCGCCAACTCCGCTCCGGTCTTGGGCTTCGCCTTCATCATCTGACATTTTCCGGGACACCAAAATCCACGCCACATCTTGACTAAATGTGCCCCCTCCTCCCCACCCCATCTAAATCAAAATCGAGGTCTTGACAAGTTTTGGGGGGAGGTATTAATTGGACGCTAAACACCCGCCCCCCCCCGAAAAACGACATCCTTCTGAAGCAAACTCTGATTGACGCTCTTGCCGGGTGTCTCTGAATGGAGATTGCAGAGGGAGGGTCGCGATCAGACTCGCAGGAGAAGGGGCTGTTTTTTAGAACTTTGATTGAAACTTCAAAGACAGAACAAAAGTCAGTTAAACCCACAGCACCAATTTTCCAGTTATTTAATCCATAATTTATTTTTACTTTTAGCAGCCAAAGGAACTGTTATTTCCTCCTGCTGCCTTTCCTCACTTTCCCGGCAATAAACCGAGAGATCCACATCTACTGGTGATATCCAGAATAATATGTTCATAATTATAATTTGAAATTCTTGCTGTGTTATCAAAGAAGATAAAAATTGAAACACTGAATTAAAATGACCATTCACTTATTTACACACATACTTACTAAGACCTAATGGCTATATATAATATACATATATATATATATATATACTTATAATTAATCTGAGCAAGTATTAATACTTGTATCTGAGCAAGTATTAAGTATCTGAGCAA